TAGGAATTTCTACACAATCAAAAAGACAGACAACCTAATTTTAAAAAGTGGGCAAACCACTTGAAAAGACACTTCATAAAACTTTATTGCCAAATGGCCAATAAACATATGAAAGTGAGCTTGACTCCATTTGTCATCAGAGTCATGCAAATTAAAACCAAAATGTGATATCGCTGCATACTCACCTAAAATGAAAGAGGCAGGAAATATTGGAAAAAATGGAAGGCAGCTGGAATTCCTATACCTTGCTGATGGGAATGCAAATTGGTACAGTTTCCAGCAATCCTATACTATGACCTAGAAATTCTATTCTTATGTATATACAAAGGATTCAGCAATTGTACCATCAGATGTATACCAAACAGAAAAAGAGTTCAAAGATTAATTGAAAGACATATACTAGAATGTCTACAGCAGTACTAGTCAGATTAGCCCCCATTGCCTAGAAAAGCAAACAAACAAACACCAGACAAACAAACAAAAATGAGGCAAACAAACATCGGACTGCTTCTGGAGTTGTTCAGTCCAGGAAAATATCAGCTTACTATAATGTTCCAGTACTGTCAGATTTTTAAATTCCTTCATTAACATGACTCAGATAATTATTTAGAGATAGCATAGTGAAGGGTGTAAAAGCAAACTGTGAAGTCAAACCGTGCTCGTACTCTGAGGCCATAACTTATTAGTAGCATACCTTTGGCCAAGTTATCTAAACTTTCTGCGGCTCAGTTTCTTTCATCTGTCAAAAGAAGATGACAATAACTTTCCTCATAGCGTTTTTGGGAAGGCTACATGAATTAGTACATGTAAATAACTCAGAACACTGCCTGGCATGTAATGCAAACTAATACATACATATCATAGCTAATACTCTTTGTTAAATCTCTTCCACATGTGCTAGTGCTGTGATATAGCACTGGGACAGATGCATCTACAAAAATACCACACTTAAATTAGAACCACTGAGGCACCAAACCACATGAACTAACTTAACAAAGGCACCAAACCACATGAACTAACTTAACTAACCTTTGTTAGAGAGTGCAAAGGTTGAGTTCAAGCTGCCCTAGTTATTTTCTGACACTTTGGTGTCTATTTCTGACAAACATGGTAATATGTGTCTTTTGTATTGTTTTGTTTTGTTTTTGGAGGAGGAAGAACTATGCCTGTAAATCATGATAATATGTTTTAATCTTCATGTTTTTTAAGGGCAGGGTACATGTCTGGGTCATGTCTGTATTCTTCATAATGCCTAGTTGATACAGTAGGCACTACTGTAAGTTAGTTACCATTTATGGTGGTGTTCACTTCTGAAAAATTAGAAACCAAGGCAGTAAGTCATTGTTTTCATATGTCTTATTTTCAATTTGACTAAAGAATAGACAGAAATATTTAACTTGAGTTATAAAAAGAATTAACTTTCCACTAGAAAGCTGTTTGAAATTAGCAAAAATGAGAAGCATCTTTCTCAAAAGCAAAACAAAATAAAACATAGCTTATCCAAAATAAATATTTACAAATTGCCCCTAAGCAAGTTATGTTACGACATAAGTAACTTTAGCTTTACAGTAGCTAAATAGTTACTAATGTGAGAGACCTGGATGACTCAAAAAGGAACTGATGCTGGAATTTTAAATGTGTAATTTGAAAAAGAAGATACGTTCTAGTTAACTTTGACATTAAGAAAAGTTCCAAAATTATTAAGCCTATCAATTTATATCTTCAAGCTGGTACAACTCTAATTCATAATTATTTTAATATTTAAGATAAATAGAAAACCTATACACTTTAACTTTTAAAGTATTTTTAATTAAAAAATACAATTTTAATAGTAGATAAAATTTTTAATTAAAATAGGAATTTTTAAAATAAACAGGTTCAGTGAAGTTAAATTACATCTAAGAAGACTGGAACTTGGGTTTGGCTGACTCCAGGTCTTCAGTGTAGTTTCCTGTTCTTCCCACATACAGGCACATTTTTTGACTTCTGTACAGTTAGTTTGTTTTCCTTTCATAGTCCTAGAATGAAGCCACTCTTAGAGCAGTGTTTCCTGGCATGTACAAATAGTTCTTTTCTATTTTTTTTTTGTGTGTGTGTACTTTGCAATTTTCTCCTATATGCCTGAATCACTGTAATCAAGTTTTTAAGTTCCCAAAGACCTTCAGTGTCCTAGAAAGAGACTATTTGATCTCATATATATTATCATTCATAACTTACCCCAAGATTACTAAGTCTTCTATTTGTAGAAAAAAGAGATGGTTGACACATGAAGACCTGGCATAAGGTACTTGCTCAATAATAAATGGTAAATAACATGATTAAATTAATAATAAAATCCTACCATTGACAACTGCTTCATTCGTCAAACTTTAACTTCTTTTAAAATGGAAATAATTTTGGAAATGTTTAAATTATAATAGGAGTAAGTTGGTTCGTTGTATCAATTTTCTTGAAACTTTGAAAGCCTGGGAAAGGAAAAATTCTAAGAACAGGATGTATCCATCTTCACAGGTTTGATCAAATATATCAACAGAACAAAAGTTAATTTTGAATTTCTCAGCTTTAAAATAGTTAAATAAATAAAAGAGTTAAGTAAATAAAGACATAAATACATATCTACACTGCTATGTTTATTGCAGCACTATTCACAGGATTTAAGCAACGGAATCAACTTAAGTGTCCATCAACAGATGAACAGATAAAGAAAAGGTGATATATAAGCCAGGTGCACTGGTGCATGCCTATATTGCTAGCTACTCTGGAGGGTGTGGTGGGAAGACTGGTTGAGCCTAGGGGCTCATGGCCAGCCTGGGAAACATAGCAAGACTCCTCCATCTCTTAAAAAAAAAAAAAAGAAAATGTGATACACACACACACACACACACACACAAATAGTATTCAGCCACAAAAAATGAAATTCTGTCACCTGTGGTAACATGGATAAAACTAGAGTATAATTATGTTAAGTCAAATAGCCAGGCAAAGAAGACAAATACTAAATTATCTCACTCATATCTGGAATTTGAAAAAGTTGATCTCACAGAAGTAGAAAGTGAAATAGTGGTTACCAGAGGCTGGAGAGGGTTGGAGTAATGGGGAGGGGAGACTAGTAGAGTCGGTCAACAGATACAAACTTATAGTTAGAAGGAATAAGTTATGGTGTTTTATTGCGTAGTAAGGTGATATGGTTTTGCTCTGTGTTCCCACACAACTCTCACCTCAAATTGTGATGCCCACATGTCGAAGGAGAAACTTGTAATCCCTACATGTTGAGGGAGGGAGGTGATTGAATCATGGTGGCGGTGGGGGGGAGGGTTCCCCTGTACTGTTCTTGTGATAGTGACTGAATTCATACGAAATCTGATGGTTTCATAAGGGCCTCTTCCCTCTTTGCTCTCTCTCCTGCCACCTTGCAAAGAAGGTGCTTGCTTCTCCTTCTACCATGATTTTAAGTTTCCTGAGGCCTCCCCAACCATGCAGAACTTTGAGTCCATTAAACCTCTTTCTTTTATAAATTACCCAGTCTCAGGTAGTATCTTTATAGCAATGTGAAAATGGACTAATACATAGGGTGACTATGGTTAACAATATTGTATTGTATAACTCAAAATATCTAGGAGAGAAGATTTTGAATGTTCTCACCACAAATAAATTATAACTGTTTGAGGAGATGAATATGCTAATTACCCTGATCTGATCATTACACAATGTGTACTTCTATCAAAACATTACACTGCACCCCATACATGTGTCAATTAATAAGAAAATAAAACTTTAAAATATAAATCAGGCCCACTTGTGGCAGACAGTCAGTCACGTGCTTGTAAAAGGCACTAGAGTGAAAGTTTAATAAAAATGTATGGAACATTTTCGTATTAACTTTTCTATAATACAGAACTCTCAAATATCACAAAATTTGCATACCACCACAGTAAGCCAAGAAGAGTGGTTCTCCATATCCTTTCCTGGTTAGGAAGGTGAAATATCTTGATGTCTAGCACCCGTTTTAATTGCTTTAACTGCCCAAGGACTAGCATAAATAATGTATCATCATTACTACTAAAAACATGTAAAGGCCAGGTGCAGTGGCTCAGGCCTGGAATCCCGGCAGTTTGGGAGGATCACCTAAGGTCAGGTGTTACAGATCAGCCTTGCCAACATGGTGAAACCCTATTTCTACTAAAAATACCATATTAGCCGGGCGTGGTGGCAGGTGCCTGTAATCCCAGCTACTCAGGGTGCTGAGGCAGGAGAATCACTTGAACCCAGAGGTAGAGGTTGCATTGAGCTGAGTTGGTGCCATTGCACTCCAGCCTGGGCGACAAGAGTGAAACTCTGTCTCAAAAACAAACAAATAAACAAACAAAAACATCTAGAGTCAAACCCATATTCTTAGAAATACCCATTATAATCCTTTAAGAGTATCTGATTCAGACAAGTGATAAAGAATTTCGAAATGGAATTTCATGACTAAAATCTTACTGGATGAAACATTAAAAGGTCTATAATTCCTTGAATGATAAATTTTGTCATACTTGTTTTAAAACCACAGATTTGTGGTCCTAACCATTGCTAGGCCTTTATCCTCAACTTGGCATAGTTCTAGGTGTCTTGTTTTGTTTTCAAAACTTAAAGATTGCAATGCATCCAGCTTCATATGCACTGGCTTGCATACCCATATACAGATCTGGGACGAGTACTTTCTTAGAGGTAAGTCCCTTTGTTTCCCTATTGTTCTCCTGAGTTCCACTCCTTCTCTCCCACCTTCTCTCCCTCAGATCTTCAATGTAGATGACAGGATTTTGGCTCTTCTTGGTATGGTCCTAAAGGAAGCTGCTTAATGAGAAAGAAAGAAAATTTTCAATACATCATTTTTTAAAAATAAATTCTTTTGATACTTTTTTCATCGTGCAATATTCAAAAGCATGCTGTGTAAGCACAGAAGCAATGAAAAAAGAACTAGGAGGAAGGCTGCAAATATTCCAAGTAACTTTCTCCACTGGGATGTTAAACTGAGCATTTTATGAAACACAAAGAAAACAAGAAAATGGACATGCTGTTGTACCGAGTAACAAAATAAATAAGAATATTTTATTAAATTAATGCAGGTACAAAAAGTGACAATCAAATGCAGAGTTAGATATCATCTCTGCCTATGCCTTTTACAATGAAACTGAGACAAAAGGGATATGCCTTACAAATCCAACACAAGTAGGAGTTAGGACTTAGGAATAGACTGGGCAGATTGTGTGTCTTGCTCAGCCACAATTCCTGCCTGTAATTCACACAAAGGACACTGTCACACAAATTACTATACAAATGCACATGTACAAACAGATAACACAAGGAGCTCTGTTGGAGATTCTGTTTCTTCAGCCTTGACGTGTGGCAAAGCCAAGATATTCCTTGTCATTGAAGCCAGAATGTGGGCAAGAGGGAAGGGAAACACTGGGATCTTCCAGAGCATCTGAATCTCAAAAGCTCCAGAAATCCTCTTAGTTGACCTGTGTAGTGATGACAGCTGGTGGCATTCAAGGGTCCAAGCACAATGAGTGAGGCTTTTCTGTCACAGGGTAGCTAGCAGTCAAGGTACACTGCTGGAATTTCCAGAAGGAAAATGTGATTTAGCAAGTACAGCGTCAAAGTGAAGTTTATACTCAAGAGAAAGCAGAAAACAAAAGTTCCAGATATGATTCTGTCATACAGAGTTAATAATAAGATGGCTTTTTAGGACTAGATTGACTCAGTGCACCCTGGAGAGCCCATGGGTCTCCTTTTGAGCAGACATAAACAAATCCAAACTCAATCATAGAGCAAATACTTAACAAATGCTGGTCGTCTAGATATACACGTAGCACATATTTAACAGGTAATAAATCATATGAAAGATAATAAAAGGCTATGGGAAAGATGACTTAGAAATAAGGAAGACATGGGTTCCAACCCCTGGGGACTTTGAAATTCATTCCATCTACTATGTAAGAAACACTATAATAAATAAAAACAGTAAAGTGCACAGCAGACATATAATGGGTTCCTACACATTTAAAATTTTTTTAAAATATGTGTTTTTGACATACATTTCCAAATGTAGACCATCTTTAGAAGAAAACATGAATAAAAGACAGTAGCAGTTGCTCTGGAAAGGAAACGTGAATGGCTTGGAGAATGAAGTGGAAATTTTCAAACCTTCTCCCATGAGATCTTTTGAATTTTGAATCATGGAAGGGTATGAATTTAAAATTTAATAGCATTTAAAGAGAAAAGAAAGAACTGTTAAACAATACCAGATACTATATAAAGAAGCATTAGATTGTATGGCAAAGGCAAATAAATCAGGGATAAATATAATGCTAGAAAAGGAATTCCAGTGTTATTTTCCAGGGTTATTTTAAGTACTGACCTCTCCTTGTAAACTAAAATTGCTTTGATTATTAAGAAGTTTAAGTATATCCAACTGTCCCAGACCCCACTGGCCTATTTCCTCCTCTTGAAAACACTGCTTGGCTTTTCTCCTCACATTATCCTTATGGTATGACACTGGGCTAAATTATAATAATACATTTTCTTATTAATCTCCTCATGGTATCATGAGCTCCTTGAGGGCAGTTCCTTTGTCTTACTTACATCGTAGATTCAATGTCCGGCATGTGATTGATGTTTCAAGGGTACTTAATAAATAGTTTTTGAATAAATTAATTGCTTAAAGTAAAATATAGCTGTAAATTATGTTCTAAAAGGACAGTGGGTGGCAGTCTGAGGTCTGCTACTTACTGGTTTGGGCAAGTTACTTAATCTGTTTGCTTCCTCAGCTGAAAAATGGGTAAAATAATAGTGGTTATCACAACAGGGTGTTACAGGGATGAAATGAGATTATGTGTGTAGGGTACCACACAGTTGTAAAGCTGATATTTAAATGGAACAGATACTGCACAGACACTTGAGGTCTGAGAATAAGATTAAGTCAACTAAAGTATTAATGGGTTAAATAAATGTGACATCCTATAGAAACCAACAGTTTGATTTTTATGCTTCCAAAGTGTACTTCCAGTTATAGAGACCAAGCACCTTACAAATACTCCATATTTTACTGGATGTGAGCAAGTGATTAAGCAGCAAGTTTAGTTTGGTGACAAAATTTTAACATATACTACAATACATCTTTAAAAGAAATCATTCACAACCCCACTCACATGACAAGAAGACCTCACAGACTCAAAATAAATAGAAAAACTCATACATAAATACTGTTCCAATACTGGGACTCTCAGTCATGCAGAAAACAAATTGAGGCATTGAGTGAAAGCAAAGGGCACTTCTGCAGGAACTGACCCTCAAATTAGGGATTCTCAACCTGTTTTCTTAGGATGAAAAATGGATGATTTGCTTGGAGGCTCCTTGTTCAGAAGTATCCTTTCTCCCTTTCACATGCATCAGTGAGCCCCTCAGTCATTTGAAAGTACCAAGGTCTCCCTCCAGGCTGCCAGTTCAACTCCATCTTTCTTTATTCTCCTCCTCTGCCTTCGCCAGGTTCTATTTTCAGTTCTTGGGCCTTTTAAGTCCTACATTGCCTGCATCCTATGGGCCCATTCATTCCTCTGGTCATGCTCAGCCCTGATGAACTCCCAAACCACAGGCTGAGAATCCCTGCTTGAAGATCAGAAGTTCCAATGCTGGATTACGTCTCCTCCAATTGTGTATCTGGAAAGTGATAATAGTATATTAATTTTACAGGGAACGGTCTTAGGAAAAAGTAATAAAAAATCTAATAAAAACCATAACTCATAGCTCCTGATATGATAAATGATGAGTTTGAAATGAGAGAAAGAAGCAAGTTGTATTTGTGCCCAATTATTCTTACATGATAAAGGGTGAATGGTTTGCTTGGGACTTTTCTGGTTTTAAAACTGAAAATCTGATATCCTGAAAAACCCCTCAGTCCGAGCAAATTGAGATGGCTGGTCTCCCAGCATGACCCAAACAACATTTACCTCTTAGCTTTACAACACAAATGATGTTATGGGCCACAGAATGAAACTTGCCTGAGCTTGTCCAAGTTAATTCGACTGCTTTAAACTTGGGCTTCTTGTTAAGTTTGCTTTCTAAATACATTAAAAAAAATATTAGAAATCTTAATATAACTTTCTTCTTTGTTCAATAAAGTGGGTGAGGCTTTTCTGCCCTGCTTTTAATTGAAGACATTTGTAGCAAAATGGATTGAAGCACATGGATTAAGAATAAGGGTCTATGGTTAGGCTAATGTCCCCCAAGCTTGATTTTTGTCTTCACCTCTGTGTTCTCAGGCACTTTACATTATCTTCTTGACCCTCTGTTTTCTCTACTATAAAATGAGGATAACTCTAGTCTCTCTCTCTTTTTGCTAATAGCAAGGGGTGAGGGATTAAATGAGATACTGTGCATGGTGCAGTTAACATAGTATTACAATACTGACACACAATATTTTAGAATCAATTAATTATCCATCCACCTAAGTCAACCTTGTCCCCTGCTGCAGGAAGATGCTAGGGTGCAAGGCAACAGAAGCTTAGCAAAGAGAAGCTGACTCCTCCCGCTTCCCTGCACCTCTCCTCTCTCCACAGAGCTGCTCCCCACTCACTACTCTTGAAGGCCATCCCTAGACCTCCTCAGATGGAGGGAGGAGTTCTTGTATTAGTTGTGAGGCAAAGGGGAGCCAGCATTCTTTAAAAGGAGAGGAGATTATGACTGATGGATTTCTCCTTGTTATTGCTTTACCTTTTTGTTTCCCTTGCCTTCTACTTCCCAATCCCCTTTGATATTCTTACCATTTTGCTTCTTTGAGTTTGTATCTCGGATGCCACATATTTTCACATCCATCATTCTCCCTTGAAAAAAAGAAATAATTTTTATTTCCATATAGCACAGCTCTACATCCAATACAGTGACCCAAGTTTACATTGCAAGTTCTATGAAATATTTGTAATCCCTAGGAAGTCCAGTGGACATCCTTATTCCACAGCTCCCAACTTCTGAGGTTAATTCAACAGTGTAGGGTACATGCTTTTGATCCTAGATTTCTTTTTGAGGACTATATACTTTTATTTTTCATCTTTTCCCCAGAGATGGACCAAATTCTGAGGTATTTTATGATCTATTGATTTCTAGCCATTTCTACTACCAACTAATCTTTTTTTCCAGAGAAATATTCAAAATGCAAGCTGGCAACAATGATTTCTTTGCATAAATCAACTCCATCTCAGGATCTTAGTGTCATTGAAACTTGATCCTTATATTCTCGCTATCTCAGTCCTGTTAAGAAAGGAATTTTTGGAAATAGCTCATCTCTACTCTCTCAGTTAACATTACTTTCCCCCACATAAGGAGTTGTGGGGAATTTTTCAATGACTATTGGAATTCCCTTCCATATTCTACTTCCCTATTTAACATCAGACAACTCTATACTGTCACTGGATCTCTTGTTATACTTCTCTAAGTATTAGAGGAATTCTTTACTCTGAATTGTCTTAAATGGGAGGAAATTATTTGAATACACTTATTTTCCTGGATTTTAATTGTTCCCACGGGTAAATGGAGAAATGAACACATGCAAATTATGTAACACCCTCTACCATACATTTTGCAAAATATAGTAAAAAAGTAAAAAAAAAAAAAAAACAGTTCCTCTATGGAGGAACTATTTTTGTTACTTAGGGTACCCAGAAATCAGCTGGGTGCAACTAATGCAAAACTAAAATGTAACTGAAAGTAACAGGCATTTTAGTCCTTTCTCTCCTGTAAGTTTATGGTTATTTGCATGAAAGAAAAAATTATATGACACTGCATCTTCTTCCACCTCCATTCACACCCATCCTCCTACCTCTCACGCCTTACACTTCATCTTCACCCAGTGATCCTACTCAGCTTCAATATAATTGCTGTTGAATAATGGAATGCCTTTGCACCACCTTGCAGATGTTCAGTCAGGTTTCCTTGCAGCCTTGATCCAATTCTCACCCCCTCCTCATCCCCAAGGAGACCAGGGCAATTAAGGAAATACTACCTTTTCTTAAATAGAAGATGAATGTCAGTGCTACACCAAGGAATACCAAGATGGCTCCCAGAATTACCAAGTGAGTCCTTTCATTTGGAGGAAGTACCAGAGGTTGTTCTGAAAAAACAAAACAAAAAGAAACTGACTAAAGATAAAATTTTGATGGGAAGGGGTCAGGAGAATAGTCATCCTTGAAGTTTAGTTTAGCTTTAGGTTACTTTTCTTAAATGCCAAAGTTTGAGTGGCTGGAATGGTAAGATACCTCTGTTAAAATGGGAACAACATAGAGAAGTCGAAGAAGCCCAGGTTTTGAGCTGGGGCTAAATTCTGCTGCCCTTAACCAATTTTGAGGTCTTGGGCAAGTGACTAACTCATAAGTTTTTCTGAAACTGAAATAAAATACATATGAACAGGCATTGTAAAATGTAAGTTGTGGAAAAGGCTGGCTGTTGTTGTGTCTTTAAAGCTACAACTGGCTAGTTAGAGATGGATCTAACAAAATGGATGCGTACAAAATGCAAATGCTAATACATTTATTGTGAGGCTAAAATGTATAAAGTGCTTAGCACAGTATCACATGGAGTGGCTACTCAGTATTAAATGGTGGCCTTGATTATTTCACTTTTTTTTTTTTTTTTTTTTTTTTTTTTTCAGAATCTTGCTCTCTTGCCCAGGCTGGAGTAGTGGTGCGATCTTGGCTCACTGCAACCACTGCCTCCCAGGTTCAAGTGATTCTTGTGCCTCAGCCTCCCAAGTAGGTGGGATTACAGGTGCACACTACCACATCTGGCTAATTTTTGTATTTTTAGTAGAGGCAGGGTTTCACCATATTGGCCAGCCCAGTCACGAACTCCTGACCTCAAGTGATCTGTCCAGCTTGGCCTCCCAAAGTGCTGGGATTACAGGCTCCTGGCCCCTCTTGCATCCTTTAATATGGAAGCTAGTAGCCTAGTGTACATGGCAGAGTGGAACATGGAAGGCCAACCAGAACTGCTAAGGAGCTCCCACCTCCTCCTATCTGTGGTCATGATTGGAGACCAGTGCTTATTATCTTATCTTTCTCTGCAGTTTGAACATCTCTGGACAACTAGTCACTGGTATCTCTTACTATGCTCCTTGTCTGGGGTCCCATGCAGGAGGAAAAGGGGTCCCATGGCACACAGAGGTTCGGAGGCTGTGAACTCCCACCTCTCACCCTTAGTCAGCTCCTGCCTGGCTCAACTCTCCACTGAGACCCGTGATCCATCTCTAACTAGCCAGTTGAAGCTTTAAAGACACAACAACAGCCAGCCTTTTCTACAACTTACACTTTACAATGCCTGTTCATATGTATTTTATTTCAGTTTCAGAACAACTTATGAGTTAGGCATACCAGGTATTTAAAAAAAAAATCCCCAATTTACAGATGAGGAAACAGACTACGCACAGTTAAGTGAGTTATTGTAGGCCAACCAACAGATAAGTTGTCATAAAACAGCTTTTAAATGGCAGGAACCCGCTAATCTAGTTTTTACTGAAAGACAATTGAGTACTAAGGACTCGTACCCTAGTAAGAGCATCCCCCTCATTTTCTAAACGTTTTCCCCTCTGTTCACAAGACCATCCTGGATTATCTTTTCCTATTGATTTAATTTCTATCAAAATTTTCAGGTATTTTTGCTGAAGTACATGGCATTTTCCTATCAACGTCTATGGGGGGAAGGGGCAGTGAGAAGCTCTTCTCTGAATATCTTTGTGTTTATATTAAATATCATGCTCACCTACCTCACTTTCTTTCACATTCTGAGCCTCTCATCAGACTCTGTTTCCCACCCTACCTACTTCTGTAGAGTAGCAAGATCAAAAAAAAATAGTTGAATTTGTGCAGGCAATGGTTTTATATCATTTTCACACATTTGCTAATTTGACCCCTGCAATAACTTTGCTCAGTAGGTTATAATCCTATGGGGAAGGTGAAGGACACAGACGTCTAGTAATTTTCCCAGGGACACGCAGCCTCATGACCTGTGCACTAAGCAGACTGCTAGTGTTGAAATATCGTAGACTACTTGGGAGAGGCACAGGTGAGAAAGGGTCTCTCCTGTTTGGCATAAGATAGAAAAATACGTTCCATTTATTTCCTACCACAGAAACCCTGGAAAGAAGGAAGCAGCTTGAATGTCCTAGGATTTGGATTCCTGAAACATGGTCTGAATTGGTATTCCTCTCAGGTATTCCGCCAGGTTTCTCAGCTATGAAAGAACATTTCCCACATGGTATTGGATTGCCTGTTTTTTGTCTGTTTGTTCATTTGTTTTTTATGTGTTTCTTGAAGAGTGTGAACTGAGTCTTATTCTATGTGTATCCAATGAGTACTAATGCATGGAACAAAAGGCACATCCAACAAATACCTGCTGAATGTTTATTATGTAACAGTATGATTTGGATGAATGGAGGTGAGCAATGAGGATACATTTTGTAAATACAGTGTTATTCATTCATTCATTGATTCAAAAAATACTGAATGACCACGATAAGCAGACATCATGCTAGGTGCTAGGGGACAGTGTTAGACATATTTTAATGGACACATTTAGAATATTACCTGGGATGACCAATTCAGCTGTATGGTTTTCCTCAGGATCTAATCTCCTAAAAGTGCAGTAGAAAATCTCATTAGCTGTTGTGTTGATTCTCAGTGTGCTGGTCACATTGAAAAGCTTCTTCTCTCTCTCAGAATTGGTGGTGGTGGTCTTACCACTCAGGACTCGATGGTCACTGCTTGTCCAGATGACTTCGGCCTTGGGATAGCCCTCAGCCTGACATGTTAGCTCATATTCAGAGGTGACTGGATCCACAACCAAAATTCTTTGGTTGATTTTGTGGTATGGGGCTAGGTCATAAGCAAAAAAGAAGTCAGGGCTTTTGTTGAGAACAGAAATAGATACATAGCTTGATGCTGTCCACATTAGAAAGAGTATCAGTACAGGCTGGTTCTCAGAGGCATATGCTTAATGTTCAGATGCCTCAGCAGTGCGGAACACCTGGTAGCTCTGCCTCAATTCAGTTCAAAGTTGGGCCAACTTTGGGGTTCTAGGAATGATTATCTTGCTGTAAAAGTCATGTTGGTACATTTATTGGGCTCAAACTAAATGTAAAGATTAATTTATACTAAGACCCCAGACTTCACCACTATGTAATATGTGACAAAACTGCTCTTGTACCCCTTAAATTTCTACAAAAAATAACATAAAGAGAATTATCTTCAAACCAGTTGTCTTTCTATTCAAATATAAAATATATCTCTCCACTTATTCAGGTCTCCATATGTTTCTCAGTAAAGTACTATACTTTTTACATAAGGCCCCATTCTTCTTAAATTTATTCTTGGATATTTTCTTTTCGTTGTTGTAAATCTGTCTTTATAAACATGAATCTCTCCAGCTGGTATACTTTGTTTTCTTAGACTTTATTTAATGAACAGAAAATCTGATTTTAATGTGTCATTTAGTTTTCTGATATGAAGTCAATGATCAGAAATTAGATATGAAAATATATACTGTTTTATCTGTAAACAGTAATACATGTTTCTGGTGATACTTTTTAATGTTCAAATTTATTCTTCATTTTAGAAGTTTTAAATTTACAAAAAAACTGCAAAGATAGTATAGAACTACTGTATACTCTTTACCCAATTTTCTCTATTACATTTCTCTATTACATTACCATGGTACAGTCACCATAACTAAGGACATTAGTACATTATTAATAAACTGCATAATTTATTCCATTCCTCCAGTTTTTCCATAATATCCTTTTTCTGTTCTGGGATCCTATCAAGGATATCACATTGTGATACTTATTTTTTAAGCTTTTAAATGCTGGCTATTTTAATAAATCATTTAAATAATTATTATGCTCAAGGAAGAAAGTTTGATTCAATTTTAGATCACTGGTTTGGGACCCTTCTAGGATTAAGATACCCAGTTTGCTGATAATTCTAGTACGTTGTTTAGTGCATCTATATAGCATAAGAGCTTTACTCATGTTTATTCATTACAAGCACTTTAACATGTTCTTATTTTGTTGGTAGAATCTTTGTTATACTCCTAACAGTGTAGTGTAACCACTAATGATCTAGAGCCTTAACTCTCCAGTCTTTACCAAGGACAACAATAGATTTGTGATGAAATTTCTTCACAGAGAGTTAATACAAAACAGTTAGAATCAAACAAAACTGAAATAAATAATGAGTGATGTCTTGGTACTTGTAAATCAATGAGACTACTACCGGTGGAAACACTAGAAATCAGTATAATTACGATTTCAAAAGAAAAATAACAGTTCTTATGAGTGGGTTGCTTTGGGGTAGTTATGGATTTTCAAATTCTCTTACCTAATTTTGACTAAACTAACCATCTTAAGAAATTAGACAACTAATTAAAAAGTTTCCTACAAAGAAGCAGAGGATTGAAGATAATACTAACGATTCAAGCACAACCCAAGAGGAAACAACAGAAGTAACACTTTTTATCAGCCACTATATGAGGTTATAGACAATAAGTACTTAATTAGACCTCACAGTATTATTAAAAAAAACTCAAGATTATTGACACTATCCACCTTTGTTAATGATATGTTCACCTAGGTATATTATGCCTTGACATATTAACTAATGATAGTGAAGCATCACAATTACTAAGAATTAAAATGTTGTTTATTACATTTTTATTTTATCCTCTTAAAATGTCTGTTTTTGTATAAATGTCTATTATGTTGAACCAGATGAAAATGGTAATATACAACCTCTTTTGCTCTTCAAAAATGGCAGTTTCTTATGACAACAACCTATATGTTAATAAAAAGTAATTTTTTATAACTACACACAAATGTGCATGCACATACACACACACAACTTTACAATATTTTACAGATGAGGTGAGTAATTAAAATTTTTTGCAGACCCCTGGTTTACTAGATCTATAACACTATACAGTATATATTTTAAATACTATAGAACACTGTATTGTACATACTTTTATCATAGAGTATACTATATGCTAGTATTTTTAACCATAGATTATACTATACTTTCTCTATATATTTACCATAGAGTATACTATACTAATGTTGGACAATCAAAACCAAGAAAAGTTCACGATAGTTTTGAAGCCAATATATAACTTGACACACACACCAGAGGTACAAATACAGGCAATAAAACGTGGTTATTAAGGTCTCAGACTTCAGAGCCAAACTGGTTCGATTTAGAACTAGCTTTATCATTTACTATCTGCATGAATTTGGGCAAATTACTTAATTTCTTTGGACCTCAGTTTCTTCATCCTTAAAATGGAGATAATACCACTTATCATGGAATCAAAGACTCCATCACTGAAAGACACACTCAGATTTTAGAGACAGTAAAATATGAAAAATGCTCATGTTACGTGATAAAGCACCTACCCCATAGAGTCATTTTCAGGAAGAAATGAACTAATTTAGGCAGAGTGTTATACTGGGTCTAACACACAGAATAAGTAAGTACTAATTGTAGTAGTAGTAGTCAATACTACTAGCAGAACTGCTCCTCCTCCTCTTTTTTTTTTATTGCTGCTTCAGTGTACCCTTTAGAAGGTGCTAACAGTTCCCGATGAACAGTCTTGGAAATAAATTTTTACATATCCAAATCTGTTCATGTTTCCAAAATTTTAAGCTAATTCTATTTGAGGAAATCATTCATTCATTGACTCAACAAATATTTTTTGTTGGCTCTTGTTGCACTACTACTCTGCTATACACCAAGCCCTGGGGATACAACAATATTGTAAAACAGACCCAAATCTCTGTGCTTGTAGAGTTTAGTGGTTCTAGGAGGATGAGGAGAGAGACAATAAACAAAATAGAAAAGTATGATACGATATGCTATACAATATACTAGACAGACATAAATGCTACAGAGAACACTTAAACAGAGCTGGGAATTTGGGGGAGAGAAGGGGTTGGTGGGGAATGACGGTGGTTGCTCTTTGGTCCATATGATCCAAATAGCTTTAGTGGGATAATTATGCAACACTTGGATCTTTCAGCTGCCTAATCTCATTGAAGGTCCTGAAAGTCTGATGAACATTTCATTTTCCCTGTTATTAGGTTCAGCGATTAAAGAAAAATAATTTTCATTGAACGTTAGAGGCCTGAAAGTCTGGTATTTAAACTCACAAACATGGAAAGGTACAGTAACCCCAAAGTGATAATGATAATTTAGTTAATCCAAAACTAAATTCTTTCAAATTTCAGTTTCAAAATATTTCACCTTTAAAATCTCATGATGAGTAAACTCTGTGGAGAAGCTGTTACCACACATTTACTGTGATGGGAAGCAAAGCTCAACAGTATTACTGTGAAATCATTTGCATTTGGAGGTGACTCAGGAGTTCTACTTCCCTGAGTTGGAAAGCTCCTGCAAGCAAGCTACCTCATTTCCATTGGAGTCACTGCCTACTGAGTGCAAGTGAAGCTTGGTGGCTGGCTTGTTCTAAGTACAGAAGGTTCAAACTTTTGGTATGGCTCAATTCAACCCCATAACCACTGTATGCAATAACAAGATGGATTGGGACTAGAATGCAAATTAAGTAATTTATAATACAAAATGGAATCCTCAAACAAATCAGGTCCTAAAACCTGGGTGGTCATTTGCTTTTCTCCATGAAGAACTTCCCGTTAGAAAAACCATCAGTGCCAGAAGATTTCCTATTGTGTTGATCCATAGTAAAGGAAACTGCAGATACACAGGGATATTATGGAGCACAGATGACCTGAAAAAAACCCTTCCCTACTACAAGGACAGCTGTCCCCTCCCTATACACTCCCTACAGGCTGATGAGAGACCTTCTTTGGAAGTACCTAAACTTTATGCTGCCTTCTTCCTGACTGCCAGGCTTATACTCTTCCTCTCCATCCCAGATGTAGCAATGCTGGCTGTTGATGAGGCTAAATTGTGATGATTTCTTTAATATCTTGGAACACAGTATATGCCTGATATTTGCTGATGGACTGAAGAAAAATTGAAAATATAAGCCACAACATCTCAAGAGATATCATGAATGGAAAAGCATATGGTAAAATATAATGAAAATTAAGTCTACTTAATCTTTCAAGAAGATTAAGTGAAATCTTCTTGGCAATAGTAGCATTACTTGAGCCAGAATCAGAGACCAGAAATATATCATAAAACAGATACATTTCTCTTAATCCCTACATGATTTTGTTTTTGAGTTTATAGTTATCAGTGATCACTGATTAATCATTGCTCAGTGATCAGTGACAAATGTAAACCTTTTCTACTTGTTTTGTTAGCCCTCAGATTGAGAGTAGTTAGCCCAGAGGTAGAAAGATCAAGGGAAGATGATTTAATTCTAGTCAAATATTAAAAGGTCATCATGTAAACAAAATAATCCCAAACCTACAACTGGAGAGGGCAGATTTCAGCTATTATTAGGGAGTAGTTTCAACAGGATATGTAGGGGAGTCCAAATGGCAGGGATGCCATTGTGGGATATGACAGGGACACCATTGCAGGAAATGTATAAATAGAAGATCTTCTGGGGGATTTTTGTTCTTTGTGGGAGTTTGGATTAGCTGCTCCCACCTGGGATCCTTTCAGCCAGTCTTCAATTCTATGAAACTCAACAATGAAAGCAGAGGTGTTTTCCTTTACTTAGCTAGTGCTAACTCAAAACTTTGAACTCAAGTGGCCTGATGACATAACTGTGGGTCAATACCAAGGAACTGACACTAGTTCCTCCTCAATTCTCCAAGACAACATCAGTATAGATTTTCAAGATGAATGTAGGCCCAGTGAGTATAGTTTTATACTGTACTGGAAGAATAGGTTCTTTTATACTTAATATGATTATTTTTTGCCTTCAGAGTGACTTCAAGCCTTTTTTTAGTGTGAACCTTACAATGGGGTTTGTTCTTAATATATTTATTTGCATTTGATATAGAGAGGCTCAAAAAAAGGAAATTTGACAGACCTAATAAAATTACAAAAATAGTAGTTGAATAAAAAAATTTCTGTAAGGACACACAGATAGTGGTTACTCTCTTTGCATGCCATGGGAGACAGCGGTGAAGGGAGGAAGGACACTTTTGCAATTCATGTTATCTCTTCCATAGTATCTGAATTATTTGCAAGTATATGTATTACATTTATAATAATTAAAAAGTAAAGGCTAGGAATTATTTTTGGAAATTATACATACTGTAGAACGTGGCTCTGTGTTGTCTCTGGATTTCCAGTGAGTATCAAATAGGTGCTCAAGAAACGCTAATTGGACAATTATGTGAATGAATTCATGAATTGAATGAATGAATGAATAGACTATGCTGTTCTCTTTGAAAAGTAAGTATGGACTTACAAGAATGAAAAGTCTTCAACACTTGGAATATGTTTTCAATAAAGATCAGGCCTCTCATCTGTGATAATTCTTACCATTGACTTTCACAGTAATCCGCTTGTAGTCAGCACCACCATAGCTGATCATGCAGCGGTAAACTCCTGCATCCTGCAGTTTCACATCTATGATCTGAAGTGCAGCAATTCCCAGGGAGAGCTGGTTCTTCAACAGCTGGGCCCTCTGTCTGTAGCTACTATGCTGAACCTTCAGGTCTTCCTCTCCATGCACAAATTGAATAATATTCTTATCGTCCATTTCCCAATAGACAATTAGTGAAGTCAGTTCTAATTGTTTTTCTACTGGGAATTTGCATTCAAGTGTCATATTGCTGCCATACTCTACCACATATAGGTCCTTGGGAACCGTGACAGTAAATGCTAAAAAGAAAGAAGAACAATCTTCAGAAAAGGGAAAATTCCTCAAAACATTTACAAAATTGGCACAGTGTTTAAAAATCACTTTGTTATAGTGATGTTAGAGTGATGGTCAGTTATGTTATAACTATATTTAAGAACTTGCTTCCCTAAAATACATAGTTTATCCAGTGGGCTTGAAATACGTTTTGGGACACTCTATCTCATGCCGAGATATAGTGTCCCAATAACAGAATAATAGAATTAGCTAAACAAGTTGCCCTCACAGTTTATAAACACAGGTTACTGTAGAAATATGTGGAGATGGAGTACTTACAACCAGGAAGACTTGGTTTCATATAGACATCCCCAAAATGTCCTTTGACTGGACACCCATTTGCTTCCTACATACAGGGAATGATAGATTCTAACAGTCATCTCTTTTTACTTCCCTAAACTTTTGATCAGTTTTCTGGCAAGAAGTACGTTGGTATGGAGTTCAGGGAAGACCACAGGGTGATGCCATACTGTGTTACCCTGACATTTTCCATGCATCCTAAAATTCTTCCTTAGAGTATCCTCATCAGAAAAAGCATGTCACAGAGCAACCAAGACTGAAAGATACTGGCTTTGTTGAAAACAAACAAATAAAAGTATACATACAGGCAGCTTTCCCAGATATTTTTAGTAGTTATCCCTACGAAATGGATAATGGATTATTTTGTGTCTTTTGATTTGTCTATATTCTCTATATCTTTACACAATGACAAAGTCACCTGTGTCAAGAAATACTTTGTCATTGTGTAAAGTAGAAGAAAGAATAGAATGTTCTCTCTATAAGAAAGTTGCATGCATATTAAATTATCATTTTAGTTTTAAACTCATGGTTAAAATATTTAAAATATAGAACCTAATGGAAGCATTTGGTGTCTTACCGTTCAGCAAATGCCAGTAGGTCATGAATATAAAAACAGCAAATATCCTCATCTTTCTGTAATAACCTAATAATGGAAAACACAAAAAGAAGACTGCTTTACTTAATAATTAAACACACAATATGACAGTATGGGACTTAGTAGTTCTAATTGAAATAATCTTCTAATAACCATGCATGATTGACTTGTAATTGTGGAAACCCAACAGGGAAGTAGAAGTTCAATACGTTCATTTTATAGCCCACAGCCATATAAAGTTAAGTGAAAAAAGTTACTACAAGATGAGTAGTTTCTAATTTATTATAGAAAAAACCTGCCCACTCAAAAGAAGCCAAGAAGATAATATTGCACCAAACTCTTCTCAACTATTTCGTGTTTTTTCTGCATTGTAATGTACCTAGTAGAACCTGCCCTGTACAAAATTTCAAAGCAAGAAGAATCTGACTTTTATTTCTCCATCTTGTCAATGCTTTTTCCCCCTATAGCTAAATACTTTCATCTTACCCTTTAGCTATTCAAGACTTCCACTTCACTATCTCAGCCACGCTAGTCCTCCTTCAAGTGCCATCCTTCAAAATCTCCTTTTCTGTCCCTCTCACTTATTCTAATTAGAAATCTATTCTCTCAATAAACAGATTCTTCTAGTAACAGTGGGAAGGAGAGAGGGTTGGATTTCACTAATTCATACTAAGATATGAATGACTCATAGTCATCTTCCAGAGGTATTTGACTAGATTCTATTCTTCATTCTGTCATCCTACTGTAAATTTACTAATTCTTTCATTCAGCAAACATTGATTGAGCACCTCTTCTGTGTTAGGCACTATTTTAGGCATGGAGAATACAGAAGTCAGCAGGAAAGAAAAGTCACTCTCCTTTTGGAGCTTACATTGAAGTAGGAGAGTGAAAGATTTATACTCAATTTCAGCCAATCTATGCATTTATTAGTATTTTCTCTCTCTTGTGTTATACATATATTTACAAACTTTGACAAGAAAAAGGTAAGTTTTCCCTTAGAGCCTCTCCAACCTTTGTATACAGACAGGAATGCACAAATGATCAACTAATTAATGCCACATACATATAAGACAGGAGATTAATGTTCCTAATATATAAATAGTTCCTAAAAATCAATAAGACAACTATACAAACTACACATAACCCATGGGGAAAATAAGTGAAGGGTCTTAACATAGTTCAGAGAATAAGAAATGCAGGTGACATGTAAACATAGAAAAGTTATTCAATCTCAAAATAAAAATATCTATTATATGAAATACTATTTCACATATTTTTTGGTGTTCTATGTCCAAATTTTCACTTATTAGCTTGACCACAATTATAAATATTTCTAATATTTAGTGTCTGTGAAGATATGAGCAAATAGGCTGTAATGGGAGGAATGTAAAGTTGTTTAACTTTTTTATGGGGCACTTTGATACTTCCTATTACAATTTTAAATGCATATATCATATGACATTCACCTTCTCCTAGAAATCTATCCTACTAAAACAAAAATACATACACATGTGTATAAGAGTATATGTAAAGGAAGGGCATTACTCATAACAGCAAACTGAGAATATTCTAGATTGCCTAAGCGGTTAAATAAATTTTTGTTTGTTTGTTTGTTTGTTTGTTTGTTTGAGACAGAGTTTCACTCTTGTTACCCAGGCTGGAGTGCAATGGCACGATCTCGGCTCACTGCAACCTCCGCCTCCTGGGTTCAGGCAATTCTCCTGCCTCAGCCTCCTGAGTAACTGGGATTACAGGCACGCGCCACCATGCCCAGCTAATTTTTTGTATTTTTAGTAGAGACGGGGTTTCACCATGTTGACCAGGTTGGTCTCGATCTCTCGACCTTGTGATCCACCCGCCTCGGCCTCCCAAAGTGCTGGGATTACAGGCTTAAGCTACTGCGCCCAGCCTAAATAAATTTTTACATATTCACAAAATATAATTCCATTAAGGACCAAATTCAGCATATGTAAATGTATTGATTTTGTAAACATGCAGGAAGTAAATTGCAAAACAATATATGTCCACTTTCGTTTTTTAAAAAAAGTGTGTGTGTGTGTGTGTGTGTGTTTAGACAAAGGAAATGTCCAAGATATTGACAGTGATTATACTTAGGAATTAAATATAGGGAGAACAGGTAGGTTTTCACTCTTACTGTTTTTAGGGGAAGGAAAAGACAGAAAAAAGAGAGATGAGATTATGGATTTTTGATTTTTTTTTCTTTTCTTTTTTTTTTTTTTTTTTTTTTTGGTGTTCTGTGTCCAAATTTTCAAGCGAATGAATGTTTTACTTTTAGTATCAGGAAAAAAATATAACCAAAATTTCATGAATCATTTCACCTCTCCAAACTGTAGAATGTTTAGCAGACCAAGTGACATAATAGAAAGAACTCCAAAATAGAGTCCAAACACCCAAATTGAGGTAGAATAACATTCATTGATTTTTATGTCTTTTTTCTTTATTATTAAGGTAATATAATGAAATTACAGAAAATAAGAAAAGAAGAGGAAAATCACCTACTGTTACATCACTTTTACCCAGGGAGCATCTGGTGATGCCTGGAAACATTTTTGGTTGTCAAAATTGGGCTGGTTGAGGGAGGGTTGCTATTAGTATATAGGGGTAGAGGCCAAGGGTGCCACCAAACATCCCACAGTGCACAGGCCAGCCTCCCACAGCAAATACATATGGCCCAAAATGTCAGTAGTGCCAAGGCTAGGAAACCTTGTCACCATTGTGAGCATTTCAGTATATATCTTTCAGTCTTTTTCCCTGCAATCTTTTAAAAAGTAATTGTAACCCTATCATACATTTAATACCCATTTGTTACATTTAAGCTTATGACATAAACATTGTCCATTTTACTGCATGATATTCATAAGCATCTTATTTAACAGTTCCATATTCCATAATATTTAATTCCTCTATTGTTAGGTATCAGATTGCTGCCAGTTTTTAAAATATCGTAAGTATTGGTGTGTTCAGCAAATATTTGTTGAGTGCCTACTGTGTGCCAGGCCCCAGGCTAGGCCCTGAGGATAGATTTCCCCAAATAATATTTTTTTTTTTTTTTTTTTTGAGACGGAGTTTTGCTCTTGTTACCCAGGCTGGAGTGCAATGGCATGATCTCGGCTCACCGCAACCTCCGCCTCCTGAGTTCAGGCAATTCTCCTGCCTCAGCCTCCTGAGTAGCTGGGATTACAGGCACGTGCCACCATGCCCAGCTAATTTTTTGTATTTTTAGTAGAGACGGGGTTTCACTATGTTGACCGGGATGGTCTCGATCTCTTGACCTCGTGATCCACCCGCCTCGGCCTCCCAAAGTGCTGGGATTACAGGCTTGAGCCGCCGCGCCCGGCCGCAAATAATATTGTTGATCAAAGGAAAAGAACATTTTTCTGGTTCTTGACACATGTTGATAATTGGTACCATTACATTCTGTTTTCACCCAGAATTGGGTATTGTTTTAAAATTTTTTTTTTTTTACTAATTTGAAGGATCTGACCATTTTTTGGTCTGTTTATGTCACTGGTTTCTTATCAACCTATATGAGGCCTGTATATTAAAAGAAAAAAAAAGGTAAGTAAAATAAAATGAGTCATCATCCTCTTGCCAGGGTTATGTATGTATTTCTTATTTTTCTCCTTTCCATCTATCCTGCAGATGGGGAACAGAGATGGCATCAGGTCTGTGAGGTCAAGAAGTTTGCGAAAATGGGGCTGCAGCATCTATCGGACTATCTTTTCCTTGGGCCAGAGTTAATTGCACAGTTATAAAATATTAATGTGATGTTTTATAATTATTGTATTATAAACACAAATACACTTACTAGGCAGAAGAAAACTTAAGATACCCCTAATCTCAAGCAAAGCATTATAACTGTATGTGAATAAAACAAAGGGACATTAAATCTAGTCATGGATTACAACTAATTTTGCCAGTGTTTATGGTCTACTCTGGTGAAGTTCTTATCCTTTAATGAATTTAGTTAAAATTTTTAGGAGTAATAAAGGTTCCCTGGAAAGTGATTGATTAGATCCAATATTTACCTAATTTCTCATCAAACCCTCTCCTCCACAGTTCCGTTTCCTTTGAGTGCAGCTGTCATTAGTGAGGGACAAAAAGGCAGAATACGAAGATCATGTAAATACACATGCTCATTAACCTCTAAACTTCACATCAGGGCAGTTGGTCTAAGAGAAGAAGACTGACATCTCCTTCTTCAGGTAAGAATTATGACCATGGGTGAATTCCCGTATCCGAATGGAGACATTCGAAGAGTAATGAAATGTAAACTGGGGAAGAAGTGATGGCTCATTCAGGTTGGGGAAGTGGGTTTGTCCCTGGGGGAAGCCCAGTGTAATACTCTGGAACTGATACTACTTCTCATCTTCCAAGGGTTGGATGGGCAGGAGGAAGAGATAGAGAAAAAGTTAAGAGGCCGGGTGCAGTGGCTCACATCTGCAATGCCAGCACTTTGGGAGGCCAAGGCAGGCGAATCACAAAGTCAGGAGCTTGAGACCAGCCTGGCCAATATGGTGAAACCCTGTCTCTACTAAAAATACAAAAATTAGCCCAGCATCATGGTGGGTTCCTGTAGTCCCAGTTACTCAGGAGGCTGAGGCAAGAGAATTGCTTGAACCCAGGAGGCAAAGGTTGCAGTGAGCCAAGATTACACCACTGCACTCCAGCCTGGGCGACAGAGTGAGGCTTGGTCTCAAAAAAAAAAAAAAAGGTTAAGTTTTCTTTCGCAAAAGTAAGAGCAAGAGGCCCACATGGTGACTCACACCTGTAATCCCAGCACTTCTGGAGCCTGAGGCGGGAGGATCACCTGAGGGTATGAGTTCAAGACCAGCCTGAGCAACACAACAATAGCCCCATTTCTACAAAGAAAAAAAAATTTTTTTTAAAGTAGGATCAAGGATTAAGAGAGTCGATTTATTAAGGCTCTACTAAGTAATCAAACTTTATTAAACTCTATTAAACCCCATGCCCAACCTCCTTCTCGGTCATACTGAGACACTCTTGTACATTTTCCACATGGGGTTTCAATTCCCCACAGTATTTCTGTGACTTCCTTGAAGACCACACTCTAACTGCTGACATGTAGCCTCTGCCTACCTGCTTCTACTGAGAAAGGCTATGTTTTTCTTCAGAGTATCATAGTTCTTCTTAAATACTGTTGACAACTATCATTGTGAACTGATACATCCTTTCTTGAAAGCATTTTCAGTTTTCATCAAAAGGCCTTTAAAATATTCAGTCTTTGACTAAGTAGTTACACTTCTAAGTTTACTTGAAGGAAATAATCAGCAATGTTCCAGAGATACACATGCAATGATGTTCAGTGAATGGCTAAGACAGAACCATTGTAAATAACCTTTGTTTCCAACAGTGAGGAATTAATTTCATTTAGTTACCCAACTTAATCGAATGCAGCAATAAACACATTTTTAGAAGATTATTTAATTCATAGAAACGCATCCACAGTAATTTTTTTTCAAGTATTAAACGAGGTAGAACAATGGTACTTTTACTCCTTGTGTTATAAGACAAACCCAGACTGAACTTTGACATAGTCCAAGGTCAATGTGTCTAAGACAAGTTTTATTATATATTTTTATTCTTAGGCTCTTCCACTGCTCTTTTAGGACTCCTTTGAGTTCTCAGAATGGACAGAGCAAAGAACTTACGTTCAGGGATCCTGGACCTGCTTAGCACTGGAAAAGACCTTAGGAGATGCTGCAGCTGGCATGATTTACACAAGTCATATTACTAGCAAGCAGCTGAGGGTGGACTAGGACCTGTGTCCAGACCTCCAGCTTAGCATCAGAGCCGTAATCTGAACACACAGTCGCATAAGAATGACTACCTACCCTGTACTACCTACCTTACTTATTTTTAGAGGTATAAATTATTTTTAGAGCAAAACTGAATCGCGCCTGGAGGAGGGCCAGATGCATTGCCTGTTCTTATTAACCCCAACAGGTAATTGGCTCTACTGCCCCCCAGACCATCGCGTTCCCTTTCCCTCCTCCTCTCTCCATCCCAAAGAAAGGGCGTAGAGACCCTCTGTCCTAAAGTGCCCAGCGAGCCAGCCAGAGATGCTGGGCCGTGGGCACCCGCGGAGGAACAACGCTCCCTACCTGCGGGCGGAGAGAAGCGCGGCTGGTGCGGAGCCTCGGGAAGCTGCGCTGGACTGGGCTGCACGGGGCTTGTCAGCTGCTCATCATCGCGCCCGGCCGGAGGCAGCGTCCCGCCCACCTCTGCCCAAGGCAGCAAATCTAGTATGCCTTTGCGGAGGATTGGACTTCCCCGACCTTCGGTAGAAACTTTCAGTTTGGGTAGCTAGCCTTGTGTCCAACGTTGTATCCAGAGTTGTTTTAGTTTGGGTAGGACACTTGTGTCCTAGGAATAAAGCTATGTATATAGAAATGAAACAGAAAGTGAAACCTGTCAGTCCAGTTTTCTTGTAAATGAGGTTTCAACCAGAAACAGCTTGGATGATTAAAGCAAATCCACATTTAGCTTGTTATTAATATAAACAATTTTACAACAAGCCAACATCTGAACCACTTTGATTTTACCTTCAGAGGGGTAACAGCCTAAATTCCGCCTTGAGATTTTCCCCCTTTCTGATAAAAGCCTCTTCAAAGTGACTGAACATCTTGACATAACTTGATATAACTCTACAACATAAAGAAAGTCAACAGCAGACCCATATGGCTTTGGTTTTTATTCTAGAAAGTAGGTGTGTGTGTGTATGGGTGTATAATAGGAAATGTATTTTTAAATCGTGGATTCTGTGACTTCCTCAAAGTTCCTCGACATAATGAAACTTCATTTGCTTTGTCATTAAAAGAACTTCCCAACCCAAGCTACATCTTTTAAGAATGCTTAGCGTCCCTGCTATTCTACCACCCTAGGGATTCAGGCTGGGGAAGCCTATTCTAGGTGAGGGTTAAGAAAACTCTTCTGAAAGCTTTGGGTCAGTGAATAGGCAAGCTGAAACCACGTGGTTCACACAAAAGATGGTGTCATGATTTACGTAAGTATTATCCCCTGCTGAACTTCTAGTTGCTCCCTTTTCTGAAACTCCTGACTTCAAGTGATCCACCAAAGTGCTGGGATTACGTCTTGAGCCACTGTGCATATATGCTCCCCCTTCTTTCTTTTTCTCTTTTTCTAAGTTGAGAAATTGAATTCTTCATTGTTTGCCTTTCCTGCTTAGTCACTTCAACTGCAGTTCAAAATACTACATAATGAATGAGTATTGAGATGGCCCTTGCATTGGTTATAACATTTGCTTCCCAAATAAGAATTTTCACATTCTGATCATATCGCAGATTTTTATTTTTATCAGAAATATTGGGGATGACACTGCTTTGATTTGGCAGGAGTGTGGAGTTCTCTTTGCAATAGAGTTTGTACCCAGTTCAGATGCTCCTTCTTTCAAATCTCTTTTGAGGTCACATAGTAGAACAGAGCAGTTTTCCCAACTTTGGTGACTATGACCTCTAGTAAAATGTAGACATTATGTGGCAATCCAGTTTACAGATACTGCTTATGTATAGTCTATGTATTACATACACATGTACAAACAAGTTTCATGAAAAAGTACTTAGACCTACTATCTGCAATACCCTCTAGTTATTTTTATTTAGTGTTTTATTTTTCTAAAAATAGTCAAGACCGAGGGCATAAACTTTGTGATCTGCTATTTCTTCATGACTCTTGAGGTCTGAAAAAAAAAACAAAAAAAAAAAACTGGCTTTAGCGCCATCTACCACTAACTAACTGGGTTAACGTGGGCAAATAATTTACTGAGTAGCCAGATTAAATCATATCCTCCTAGATGGCCTGGATGATCTATGGATAATTTTTAAAACTGAGGATGGGTGTTTTGTTTCTGTTTGTTTTATGAAAGCAGTGTTCAGGGTTTACCTAAATGATCAACAGTGAGGCAAACAGAATTTGCCTTTCCCTAAAGTTGTTGATGGAAATTGAGAGTATTTACTCAGTTTGCTACTGAGTGATTTGCATATTACTAATGTGAGAATGTGTTTTATTCATCTTTCCCACCTGTTTTTACCCTTCAACCATTCATTTTCCCATACAATTGATCAACCATCCAGAGACTGAAAAACAGGATGTGTTTAGAAAAAGAGAAATCTTATCACCTCGAAAAATATGTAAAACAAAACAAATGGTTAATGAGTGTGGGGAGAAGTCCTGAAACTCTGTGTGAGTTTTTTTATTTGGACAAAATGGATGGAGAAGTGCTGAGCTAGGAGAAGAGCAGTGGGGAGCCAGGGCTGAAAAGCTAGATATTTTGATCATCTTGAATATCACCACTTCCTATTCATACAACAGCTACTTTATTCATTTTTAGAGATATAAATTCATCATTGCCAATATGCTGTTTCTCAGAGTGTCTCTGAGGGTTACTTGCATTACACTTGATTTGGGGTTTGTATTTAAAATACAGATTCCAGGGTTCTGCCTGGAATACAAACCTGGGGGCAGGGTCTTGGGGATCATCAACATTTTAACATTGTCCTCGGGTGAGTCATGTTCATATTGAAGTTTTGAAAACTAGTGACTTACTATTTAATGGAGAAAATGAGCAAAGAGTTTTTGCAAGTACAGCTATAACTTCCTTTCTTCCATCTAATTTGGCTGATTTATCAATACCATCCTTCCTTCTGCCTCTGTCTGCCCCACTTGCTGCTTTTGCTTCTAAATAAAGAGATGATCCTCATTTGTGCTGATCTCAGGAGGAATGATTTCAAGGTCTTACAAGTGGATCTGCAGTGATATGGGCAAATTCCTGGTGAAGGAGCAATTTCTAGTAAATGTTCTTGATCTTCAAAAGCAGCATACACTAAAGAGACTCAAAACAGAGACACTGACAAACTGCTTTGTTTGCACTGAATATTTTTAAATGCATTTTATGATGTATAAAGACAATACCCATATTTGTCTCCAGGTTCTATTTTTGATCATGTAGGGTTGTAAACCACTGCCTTATGCAATGCTTATTATTTCTTTTCCTCTGTTCCCATCCAGCCTCTCATCTTTGTTGCCCCTACCCTTGTCATAGACTCACATCCTATATGTGTCTCATGTCAAACAGACTTCATGGAATAGAATACTTTGTTCTGGTTACACAAAACAATGGTTTAAATGACAGGGGTAATTAACATGTGGGTCACCAGAGAGCAGCAACTGTCCTCATCTGACACCCACAATCAAATGCTTCCCTCCCTCACCCTGCATCTCTTTCCTTCCTATCCTGAGCTGGAAAAGAGCTGGGCAGGTGAAGAGCTCTTGCCTTAAATGGGTAGATCCCATGCCACAGATACTTTAAAACAGGCGTCCCCAAACTACGGCCTCCTGAGGCCATTTATCCAGGCCCCCCGCTGCACTTCAGGAAGGGGCACCTCTTTCATTGGTGGTCAGTGAGAGGAGCACAGTATGTGGCGGCCCTCCAACGGTCTGAGGGACAGTGAACTGGCCCCCTGTGTAAAAAGTTTGGGGATGCCTGCTTTAAAACAAAGATGAGGCCTCCAACAATTCCCCCTATCCACAATGAGTTCACAAACCCAGACATAAATAGTTAAGGCCTGGATAAATGCTGTGGGAGTTTGGGAACACTCTGTGGTAAATATTTTAATTCCAGGGAATCTCAATAAGTCACCAGAATGCCACTAAAAATAAAGTTTACAATTGAAAGATACTCCTCAGGGGATCCTGGAAATTATTTCATTGACTTAATATTCTAGAACTAATTACATAAGTGAGTGTCACACAAATGAAATAGTCACCTTGTGAATCATTTCCTTGGGTAATCATATCTAGGTGAACTGGATAAAGAATTTAATTAACTTATTTATTTTTGTAGGCTCATCATGAAAGAATGAGAAATAGTTTTTTTCTTTTCCCCACTATTTCCTTAAAAGGACAGGAAGACCTTTCTGTTCTGAGAGAGATATGTTCCAAGCAGAAACTAATAAATAACAATTCAGATACTGAAAATTCCTATAAAAGAAAAAAGAAAACCAGTCAGGGTAATATGGTGAAGTGCACAGGTGTGAGGTTTCTTTAGTTACAGTGGTCATGGAATGCATAAGAGGTGATATCTGAGAAATGAATCCATGAAGATAACCATGGCAAGATCTGCCAAAAGAGCGTATCTGACCAGGGAAAGAAACACGAGCAAGGACTATAAGGGTGGAACAAGCTTGGCAAGTTCCAAGGATGGAAAGAAGATAAACGTGGCTAGAGGATAGAGTAAGGGAGAGGTATAGTGGATCAAATTATATCATGAAGAGCCTTGAGGACTAAGGGGAGAGGTTGGATTCTACTTGCAGTGAAAAGCCACCAGATGGTTTAAAGCACGGTAGTTGCCTGATGAACGTTCTAAAAATACAACTCTAGCTATGCTATGAAGAATGGAATGTAGAGTGGCCTTACATTCATGGAGGCAGGAAAGTCTGTAGGAGCTGTTTCTATAGACCACATTCAAAATATAATTTGAAAGTAGAACCAATAGTACTTATTGAGGGATATTAGTAGTAAGGGATAAAAGGAAATCAAGGGATATACACACACATTTGTATATATTTATATGCATTACATACTTGTATATATTTTTATACAATAAATATATATATGTGTGTATTTAATATGCTTTTCCAGAGTAGGATACTATAGCTAGTTTTGTATTATGTGCATTCTCTAAATTAAGGCAGTCTGAAAACAAAACAGAAACTTCCTTGGAAAATGAATTACTGGAAATTATTCTAAACCAATCAAGACACTCATGATTTCTAAAGAAGAAATTACAGTCTTTTCTGGAAATGGAGAAGTTGGTGGCACTATGTTGGCAGTGTTTCAAAGCCATGCTCTTGAGGCTTGCTATTAACCAGGATCCAGTTACTTTGGAGAAATTCACAAGAAGGGCTGTGTCAGAGACAAGTGCAAAGGGCTCTGGGTTGTGGTTAGAGCATTCTTTTAACAAATACAAAGAATGAAAGTTTCAGAGGCTGAGAAATGCCATCAGGTGAGGCATCAGCACTTAGGTAAGTATGTGAACTCTGGAGATGAACTGTTTTACTTCCTTACAGAATATGACAGGGTGGAGATAAATGGAAAAGCATAGGTTTAATTCATGCCTGTGTATGAACAAGCCAAATA